TCTCATTTGCAATCATACCACATCTCCTTATTTTTATAAGTAGTTCATCTACAGTGATCACTAGCCTGTCAACACTGAGGTAAGTTAAAACCCAGCTCATTGCAGGTGCATTTGATTACTACCTTAATTCTCTAGGATTGCCAGTTTTCCTGCCTATGGTCATGGTCTTCTCGGGGTACTTTGGCTTCCTCCATTAACTTAACTGGCAACAACAATCTAACCAAAAGTGCTGAAAGTGGCTTTACATCATATTGTCTCTGTGGCAGGCAATCATCATGATCATACCACATCTTCTTATTTTTAAATTAAACACTTACAATCAATCAATCAATCTAATAACAAATTAATGTACTAAATTTTGTGTTGATGTGTCATGCATAGTTACTGAAAAAAGACCTGAAACTTAACCTGCAAACTATATGGCAGATTTCAGCTTGACGAATGACTAAAGTCCATAATAATTAGTGTGTCTCAAACATTTGAATAAACAAGAGCATGGTACTTTTCCAGGTGAATACATGTATGGTAAGACCACTTAAAATGCACACAAATATAGACAAGGACAGTACATGTTTTTCCAATAAATTAAAATATCAATCAACTAACTTAATTTGATTGTAAAGAAACAGAACAACTGAACAATTATGATTGATTGATTGATTGTTAGTTGCTTAATGTTAACAATTATGAATAAACTTAACCTGAAAGAATGCTAAATAGGGTTGGAGACGGCAATGGTCTGCTGAAAAAGGACATTGCATATAACTATGCTATATACATCTTTGAAGAAAACACTGCAGAAGAACTAATGAATAAAAAATTTTTACACAGAAATAAATTGTCACTTTATTTATCCAACCATTGTTCTTTTCCTTCCACGAAGTCTAACTTCATCTAATTTTGCAACAACTTCAGCTGAACTTTTCAAATTGTATTTTTTGTATGTTTCAAGAATTGTCTGAAAAAAATCTTCTGTATTCGGATGAGTACTTAAAATGGCTCTTTCTAGAACATATAAATCTACTCCTTTCTCCTCAGCAAAATTTTCAAAATGACTGAGACCAAAATCTATGATAACAACATCCAATTCAACAGGGTTACCTCTTAGAAGCATGTTTGAGGTTGTTAAGTCACCATGTACAATGTTATTTGAATGCATTGTTCCTAAAATTTCTCCAACTTTCACTCCTAGGGGTTTAAGAATATTATTTGCAGTATCACTGTTATCTTTGGCTTGAACATGTTGAATATATTCTCTAACAGTTTGTGCATCTTCAATTTCTTCCATGTAAATACTGGAATTTTCCATGTTTGTAAAGTAAACAGTTGGTGTACAAATGCCTGAAATTAGAAATTACAATATTTTTCTAAGATAAAATATAATACAGTCAGTGTAAAATATACATTTAAATAAACATGTACATGTATAAAAAAATAATTATATGTGTCATAAACCAACACTTTTTACTTAGAGAATTTTGTCAAACAACTAGTTAGTGTTTTAAAGGTTGTAATGTGTATTATAGAGGTAATATTTTTGTATTTTTTTTAGTAACCTTTTGTCTATATACTCCTCTCAATGTTTCTAAATTTTATGTAATGAAATAATGTAAAAATTCATAAAAACTTCATGCAGTTCTTTCCTCTATAATTTTTTTGAAATATCTTTAAAACAAGGAATTATTTGAACTTTGAAAAATAATTCAGAAAGGGAGCTTAAATGGTAGCAGGATCAATTTGTGTGTATTGATATAATCCCTAAAGGGAACAAATGGTAGCAGGGTTAATTTTGGGGAATGAAATTAATAGACCTTCAACAACATTGTGGTCGTTAAAATGAATTTTATGAGAACATTATAAAGGAGCTTACAGTTTCCCTCAAAATGTATATCTGCTGTGAGGAGCATACAATTTCCAGCATATATGTATATCTGATTGCATGAAAGTAACCTTTGCGAGCTCATTATAAAGCACCTGCCACATGTATTATTTTTCATTGGGACTGGAGCAGTTCTCTTTAAAACCTGACCAATTTACAGTAACACTTCACTGTAAATAATTTCCATTCAAATGCAACCTGCACATATGTCCCATGGGAGTACTGTATTTTAAAGGAAGAAGAAGAAGGAAACAAAGTGTTCATTTTGCAGGTCAGGAATAACCATTAAATAGGTGGATAATTAGGGTTTTTTCTGGGTATTTTGGAAAAAAGGACACTGGGCAGTTTTGGGAATTTTTCACACGATTTTCAATGAAATTTGGAAACTCAACAAATATACCAAATGTGAGTTTTAGTGTATAGTTCTTTAGAATTTATCTTTTTTGTGAAAATAAAGTACAAAAAATGTAAGTAACTACATGATTGCCATTTATATTTTTATTTTTCTGTCCTTTTTGTTTTTTAACTCGACAAGAAGTCAATTAATTTCATTTTAGTATCAAAATACCGTACTTATTTAAGGACATGTGATAAGAATTTACTGCCTCTTTCTCCTTCAAAGACGGTAACAGTTAAAAATAATAAATTCAGGGATAGCCTAAATAAGATTTGTTTTAACTACAGGCCAAGCGGGCTAATACTTTTCTAAATTCGGCTGCCCTTCCAGATTTTTACTGTCCCTTCAAAATAGAGAAGCTACCTCCTAGATCTGTCGTTATGTTTTTACATTATAAAAACATCCAAATCAATTTTTTTTTAGTGATAAAGAAAAGTAATGTAACATTTTATTGGATTTTGACTAAAAATATCTTCAAGTTTCTGTATAAAATAATTATATTTCTTTTTTCTTTTTCAAATATCTTTTGGTTTTCAATGCTAGAGTTTATATTTAATAGCTGTACTTTGTCACCTGCGGCAACTTTTTTTAAAATTTAATTTTTTAATCTGACCCAGTATTGCATTCGTTTACATTTCTGGTTTAAAGCGGCCATTTGTCGAAGTTGTATTTTGTCAGCCGAGTATGTTTTAAGTGACACTCGGTTGAACACATTACTTGTTAGCGATTTTCGGCATAAAGCTAGCGGTTGAACAAAAAGAACATCACTGTCATGAATACTATACTATACTGTAGGTGAAAACATAATTTGAACAATTTTCAATCTGGTGGGCAGATGTCCCTAAAAAGCTCATTAGAGAATTTTCCTCTTGAAATTGGGAAAAATGTAGGGGGTTTTGTCATTGGGAATGGGTCCGAATACCTACTACAAGTTAAAATCATAAAATTTCAATAAATGAGTTACAACTTGCCAAAGCACATTTATCAGCTGGAATGGATTACATTTTATTATTGAAATAGATTAAAAATTGTAAATAGTTAAACATGTTAAACAAACAAAAATAAAAATACATTGAAGTTTACAGGTGCAGTAAAAATTGGTATATAATTTGAATAAATAAAATTGCTAAAAAAAATAAACAACATCAAAGCATTTCAAAAGGAAAGAAAGAAAAAAGTAAAAACTTAAATCTTAAAGCTAATAAACTAACAAACATTTCAGATTACAGGACCCACAGTTGGTAAGAATAGTATTTACATATAATTCTGTACACTGTTTCAAAAAACTTTTACCTATCTATATATGTGTATCTTGTTTTAAATGTAATGTTGTATGTGGTGATTCTTTAATAAACCATTGAATCTGAATCTACATAGATCCAATTAATAAAAAAAATGATTTTCGTTATCCGGAGATCCCCTCGAAAGCTGCAGGGTTACAGTGGAATCCGTGTACACTCCCTATCGGGATTAATGGAGATGTGTCACTAACATATTTACAACAATATTTACAAGGACAATCCAAACCCAACACAAAGGGAGTGCTAGGACACTGGGAAGTCTGTTATTATGGTGGATGAAGCCGAAGTACTCTGAGAGAACCACTGGAACACTCGGTGGGAACAGACAAACCAGAGAGATATCAGAAGATTGATCTCCAGGTCAAAGTAGAGGGCAACTTTGACCAACCGAGGCCCCCAAAGTACCCATTCTAGTTTAAACTCCGGTCTGGGTACCAGAGAAGTATGTGGGAGGTTGAAAATCACCCTTGTGATGTACTAAAATTTCCAGCGCCCCCGAGTCAGAATCGAACCCAGGACCTTCAACACTGAAGCCATCGGTCTTAACCACTAGACCACGAACCCACACTAATGACAGTTTAATTTTTACAGGACAATATTTTTAATACTTTTTTTCAGTTTATCATGTTTATACATGTTATATTAGCACCTTAAATTTAAAGTTATTTCTATGTCAGACTTTTATTATTTTAACACAGATATTTTTCCTTCTAATAAATATAAGATTAACTGATTCTGATTCCTCAAACCAAATGCATTCTATATGTCATGACATCTTGAATCTTAAGTTAACATTATAACCAACAATACTGGTATAAAATTTACCAGTATTGTTAACAATATTGTGATCACCAAAGTCAGGTGATCCCTAAAGTGAACATCTTATGTTTGTAGATTCTAAAGGAAACAGAATACCTGTAAAGTTTAGAATTGGTTATTTCTTTAATATCTGTTTTGTACTTCTGGAGACCCAATGAAAATAAAAACCTGTTATTTGCACTTTATATTGAAAATAAATTACCATTCATTCGACATCTTAACAGTGCTCGTACTTCTGATTTAATTCGATGGGCTGTCAAAGATTTGTCCAATGAAGGATGGCGGTAACATTTTGTGAACCGTTCCTTGATTATACAGGGTTTTCCATAAAATGTGGATTTATATAATTTGGCTTCAGCTCCTTGCTTCATCAATACGGGCATTGTTTCAATGCTATTTCTCGATTCATCTTCCATGATAAATATGACAGTTTTGTACTTTCTATGTGTCTATGCTTTTTATTTCGCGAAATATCGACTTCTGCTTGCGTTTTTGGATTTTTTTTTAATAATCAATGTGAATTGAGTGTTTGGTCATCATCATACATTTTGGTATTTTCAAACGCGTGAATGACAGCCAGAAAAATTCGCAGACCATTTTTACCTTCCTGTGAAAAACTTTGTTGCTGAAGGTCTGCACAATGACACAAATTGGAGTGAAAAAGAAATTTACCCTGTTTTACTTCCCCACATCATTTTCATCTCAAAAGGTTAAGTTTCACAAACTTAATGATGTAGATTATTTTATTCAGAGCTTCTTCAAATAATGACAAGCTATTGATAAAAAAATTTGAATGGGTCACCTTATGCATATGTGTATATATGTCTCTGCCTTATGTCATTTTTTTTTCTCCTCTCAAAAATTCCATACTAAAGTTCAAGTCAAATAAGCTTTATGTAAAGTCATCAACATAAATAAGAATACAACATATATTGAGCTTTAGAATCAACATAAACATTCATGCAAATTATCATGCAATAGGCTATTTCTCGAATCATATCTTTAACCGGAAAAGATCGTCAAATACGCAGTCCTTATATGAAGTCATTTACCAGATAGAAGGCACACTTGTATCCCTGCACTATTACAGTCTGAAGCATTTTCAGGATCATCATTCTGTAGGGTATTCTAGAAATAATCTATGTTCCTTAAGTATGTAATCTCAATTCCTGTACAACTAAAGGGAGGGTGACCGTCTAATTAGATTTTAATTTCCCGAATATTTTGTGGGGTATAGCATCAAACTTTTACACCTGTTCACTGAACCAGGGCTTCCAAAATTATTTTTAGCCAGCCGGACATTTTATATATTATCCCGATTTTAAGACTAAATAAACAAAAGGCATTTATGGTATTCAGTTGCCGAGTTGGCCATCCCAATGATTGACATTAAAAAAAAACGATATTAAACTTTCTTTGATTCAAATTTGAAGTTCTGACGTAAACTGTTAAATTGGCAGTGTTTCATTTGAAGTGTGCAACATCCGCGTACTTATATCTGCCTTAGACTCTTTATTTGTGCAAAATAACGTCAAAAACTTTACTTTCGTTTTTGAATCTAATACCGCATGTTATCTTGACAATGGTAAAACATGGACCAGAGACGGATACGTAAATTCTGTGTACGTTTGCAAAGCATGAATGAGTGTACGTAGCTCTTTCTGCATTATTTTCTTTCTACGTTATTTCTTCAAGAAAATATTCGAAATAAACGTGAGATAAAGGTATCAATGACAATTAAAGCATTTTTTGAAGAAATTTAAGGATGCATAATTCAATTTCACACCTGCGCAAATGCGCACACGTGTACTAGATCAAACAGAGACATGTCTGGTTCAAACAACGTGGTTATGACGATTTTTCATTTTCACCTTTTTAGCTCACCTGGCCCAAAGGCCAAGTGAGCTTTTCTCATCACTTTGCGTCCGTCGTCCGTTGTCGGCGTTAACTTTTTACATTTTGAACTTCTTCTAGAGAACCACTGAATGGAATGAAACCAAACATGGCATGAATGTTCCTTATGAGGTGCTGACAAAGTGTTGTTACTATGAAGCTGATCCATAATCCAAGATGGCAGCCAGCAGGGGACTTAGTTTAACATTGGACCCTATGGGAAATACATACAAATGTCTTCTTTTAGAGAACCATTGAATGGAATGAAACCAAACATGGCAAGAATGTTCCTTATGAGGTGCTGACCAAGTGTTGTTACTTTGAAGCTGATCCATCATCCAAGATGGCAGCCAGCGGGGGACTTAGTTTAACATAGGACCCTATGGGAAATACATACAAATGTCTTCTGTTTGAGAACCACTGAATGCAATGAAACCAAACATGGCATGAATGTTCCTTATGCGGTGCTGACCAAGTGTTGTTACTATGAAGCCGATCCATAATCTAAGATGGCCGCCAGCGGAGGACTTAGTTTAACATAGGACCCTATGAGAAATACGTACAAATGTTTTCTTTTAGAGAACCATTGAATGAAATGAAACCAAACATGGCATGTTCCTTTTGAGGTGCTGACCAAGTGTTGTTACTTTGAAGCTGATCCTTCATCCATGATGGCTGCCAGATGGGGACAATGTTTAACAAAGGACCCTATGGACAATACATACAAATGTCTTCTTTTAGAGAACCACATACTGAATGGATTGAAACCAAACATGGCATGAATGTTCCTTATGAGGTGCTGACTAAGTTTTGTTACTTTGAAGCTGATCCTTCATCCATGATGGCTGCCAATGGGGGGACTTCCTTTAACATAAGACCCTATGGGAAATACATACGAATGCTTCTTCTAGAGGTGCACTGAATGGAATGAAACCAAAACATGGCATAAATGTTTCTTATGAGGTGCTGATTAAGTGTTGCTACTTTGTTGCCGATTTACTGTTCAGGATGGCCACCAGGATTTTTTATTAAATTACAGGACCAATATTAAACCAAATTTGGCCTCACTCATTATTAGGGTATCTGTTATGATTTTAATCTATTTTTACATGATTTCCAAATTCAAAGTAGAATCAGGTGAGCGACACAGGCTCTTGAGAGCCTCTAGTTAATTTTTTCATCAAATCATATTTGTAAACGTATTTCTGATAATTTTAATCTTTTTGACTAAATTAATTAGATGCAAACCGCTGAAATGTAAGAAAATAACTTTGAATAGACCGATCAATGTCCGGTTCAAAATAGTTTACCTGTCATCTGAACAGGTAAATTTCAGCTGTTCGACAACTAATTAGCCTTGATTAAAATGAGAAGGTATTAAAGTAGGGGTTGTTTTGATAGTACTTAATGATCATGTCACTTTTATGACCGGAAATGTGTGGCTGTTAAACATGTTAAAGGCAAAAGGTTGTTTCAAAAAGATTGCGAATTATGTTAAAATGACCGTCTCTTAAGAAAGCCTTGAAAACTAAAAAGTAGATGACCATTTCATGCTTTGCCCAGCCGGACTTTTACCAGACATTATACAAATGTCCGGAATATATGACCGTTTTGGAAGCCTTGCACTCAACATGTGTTTGAAGTGACAATGCCTACATTTTTGTCACATGGTGATGGAAGTAACATGACAGAATTAACTAACTATCGTATCTCAGAACTGCCGTATTATGTACAGAATAGCACCAATATCGTCGATGATTGCAAGTTCGTGACATTTGGGGATTTCCACTTTACTCATGAAGTCATGCATAAGTATTTATCATTGACAACGTGCTACTTCAAAAAAATTTAACCTGATATTTTTCATTGCATTTCCACTCAGATTTGCATGAAAAAGAGAATTTTGTGTATGTTCCTGCATAATATTTGTTTAAACATCTGTTTCCACTATTACTATGTTATTCCACAGTAGAATTATAGAATTCTTGGGGAAATCCCTTCAGCAATGTTAATATGAGGCAGGTGTTACCTTAAAAAAGTCCTTTGAAAGAGGACAAAGTCCGTATAAATTTTTTTTTACTTTGTTTTGTTTGCTATAAAATTGTACGTTGAATAAGCTCCAGACTAATTTTAAAATGTAAGGAATTTATTTTAATTATTAAACTGGAAGTATTCTGTCGGTAATCAAAAACAACAAATTTCGGGAAACAATATGATGTTCCTTCCTATATTTTACTCAAAGTCTCGTGACAAATGAGGCGAAAGAAAGAAAGAGATTTCTGTCATTGTCTGTACAAATGCAGGAAACTGAAAAAGTTAGAAAAAAAAGTTAAAGATTTTGAGTTCATTAGTAAGAAACAAAACCATTGGAATATTTAGTCGTAAAGAGTAAATTAATCCTATGTCAATGTATGTCATAGATTGCAATTTGAAAGAAAAAATACTTTGTTGCATTATAGACATTTTGTGCATTGTTATAGTTATCTTAAACGTTATTTAAGGGTTTAATTCTGGACTTTCCTATTGACCATTGGAAGTCACATGTAAAAATTAGAATAATTGCTGTAAGGACATGAAGGAGAATAAAAATGCTAGTAAGTCCCAATTTCTCTTTTTTTCAAGATATTTAATTGTTATTTGATCTCAAATTTATTATGTAATGTTCAAATAAATAATATAGTAGGTCTGACCAGACCTATATATTTTTTTACATGCGCAAAAACCACAGTCCAAGACAAAAGTCTTGAACTTACAAACTTGTCTACTTATTTTACGGAATTGGGTCACATTACGAAACAAAGACAGATTGACCATGTTTCTGAAGCTATTCATCAATTAAGTGTATCAGACTATTTGCAAATAAGTAAAGAATATTAACATTCACAGCGGATAATAATTGCTCCAAGGTTGTGATTTTTGTTCGTTTCGAGTTAGGGTAACAAACTTCCAATCATCAAGGATACACATTGTAATATGAGGTAGGTGCTACCTGTTGAGCACCCAAAGGTTGAGGGTGCATATTTGTTTTGCATGTCATCATACTTTTTAGTGATCAGATATATACAAATTTGGTTGAAATCAGTAACCTGAAATAATCAGTTATTATATTCAGCTGCTCTATGATGGCTTCGTAAACACCTAATGGCCTAGTCAGTGACAAATCATCAATTAATCATTCAAAACTAGCTCAGGGATTACCTATCTGGTCAACATTAGAGTACCTGTTGATTGCTCCCTTATCCAAAGAGGGCCAATCAAAATACTGCATTAGTGCCAGGTTTTTAATGTAGAAAGTATTCAGGCCAGCTTGAGTGGGTGAGTTGATCATGGGGAGGGACTGAATTATTTAGGTTAGGTAATCATATGCTCCTTGGATACAATTCTACGGGAAATTGTTTGCTACTCAGATGCAAATCTAGGTAAATTGTATGCTCCTTTATGATATATTTTTATTTTATGAAAAATATCGAAATTAATGATAAAATTTACCATTTATGTTTCCTTCAGGAGCATACATTGTATTAGTCTCGGGTACAGAGGATGAAACACAAACATATAAATCTTACGAAGCACATTTAAAACATGCAAGCATAAGCAGTAAAGTAAAGCACAATAAAACCATTAACATTGGTTGTTGGTGAATGTGTTCTTGAAGAACACAGGCCAACAAAACTTTAGATGCCAACTGTGAAATTTGGTAATTTTGTCTTCTTATCATTATATCTCCTTGGGATTCTGAAACACTTATATTAACATCATACAACAATTACTTTTGCACTGTCATGACTGTAATGTCAAAATCTTTAGATTTTTACACCATTATTCAAAGTACAAAATGTATGTGCCAAAAAATGGTGAAGATGTGTGGAGTAATATTTCTATTTCTGAGACAACAAAAGTTGGAACTGCTGCACCTACATACAAACCAATGAAAGTATTAAAATAAAATCAATATAAATGGACACAAGAAAAAAGTTATAAAAAATCCTATAAACACTTTCTTGATTCATCATGTTCATGAGCTTCTTTGTGCAGATCAAAAAATTAAGAAGCGCCCTTGTATGATCTGTTGGGCACCTTCTTTCTGCTTTAAGATATTATGAGATACAAGTGTGGGTACTGTAACTTAGCATGACAACATGTCCATTAAAATCAAGCAATTCTTACAATTTCTAAATATATGAATCATTGAATAAAAATTACCAAGTTAGCCTTTTTCAAATGATTTTAACTGGATTCCCGAAGGAAAAATCGGTTATTAATTTGGGGATGTACGGCGGGCGGCTGTCAAACAGCGAAAAGTGATACTTAGAGCGTTACCCGCGTAATAACTTGATAAGGCTTTGACAAAGTCTTTTCAAATTTAGAAATGTTGTTTCCTGTGACTAAATGAAGGTCAAGTTCAATTTTCACTATTTTAGCTTTTATTGTTGTTGAGTTGTAGACCTTTCAATAGCGAAAAAGTGATACTTAGAGCGTTGTCCGTTTCAATAACTTGATAACGCTTCGGCGAAATCTTTTAAAATGTAGATATATTGTTTCCTGTGACTAAATAAAGGTCAACTTCAATTTTCACGATTTTAGCTTTTATCGTTGTTGAGTTGTAGACCTTTAAGTAGCGAAAAGTGATACTTATACCGTTGTCTGTGCTGTTTCACCAGTCCCAGGTTAGGGGAGGGTTAAGCACTCACAAACATGTTTAACCCGCCACATTCTTTATGTGCCTGTCCCAAGTCAGGAACCTGTAGTTCAGTGGTTGTTGTTTGTTCATGTCAGTCATATTTGTTTTTCGTAAATTGTTTTGTTATAAATTTAGCTGTTAGTGTTCGCAATTGAATTGTTTCATATTTCTTATGTCCGGGCCTTTTATAGCCGACTATACGGTATTGGTTTTTCTCATTGTTGAAGGCTGTATGGTTGCCTGTAAATGTCGCCACCAATTTCAATGTATAGTAGTTATACATTAACCAAAAAATAAAAGATCAGTTTATGTGTAAAACTTTAATGTTTCATTGTACTAAATGGTGTTCTTAAGTTGCTTAAATCCACTTCATTTGGAAAGTTGTCTCACTGGCAATCTTACCATATCTCCTTATTTTATATTCTTTGTGAACCAAAAAACAATTTATTTGTATTCATTTTAAGAACATATTTCAATTATTTTTTTATCAGTGTTCAAATAACATAATCCATAATTTTATTGGTTCTAAAACCTTAGTCAATCAAATCCCTCTATCCCTACATTACATACATTTATTATCCATTGACCTTGACTGGTGTTTTAGTGTAAGTGGAGGCAATTGTTTACCTAGGAATAATTTTAATGCATAATGACAATAATAATCAATAAAATAAGTAATATTTTATTGTCTTCTCAGGTTCTTCTTGCATTCTATGAAAAAGAGGTTCCATTCAAACCAAAGCTGGTGAGTCTGTTTTCTGGACAACACAATGCTCCTTGGTATGTAAAATTAAATCCAGAAGGTGTCCATGTACCAGTTTTACAAGATGAGGATAACATCATTACAGAACCAGAAAAGATAATAAAGTATATTGATACAGCCTATCCAGCCGGTGAGAATAAGTAATATCTAGTAGCACCACTATTGTTAGATAAATTTTCATTGGTTGTTTATTTTTACATGTATATGATTTAGTGAAGTCTAAAATAAATCTGCTTGGATCTGTCAGCATCATGGCAAGCCTTCATCATTAAATTTTTTTTAGTTCTTGACAAAAAGATATTGTTACATCTTCCAGCAGAGGTTTACTAACATTAAACTTAAGCAGTTTAGTCCTAGTCTGTAGAATTAATGTTATTAGGTTTAAATGTATTCAGTATATTCATCTTTAATTTCTATCTACTTTATCAAATATGGCACCTTTCAATAGTTTTGACTATGATCACAACTAACAAATCACTTCCAGTGTGACCTTGGATGTAGGAATTTTCTGGCCACTAGTCCATCAACTGATGAATTAAGGAGAAATTGAATAATTGTCAATTACAACCAATCACAAGAATATAGAAGACTGAGGTTTACATTCATTTGAATGTTTTATATGTCTTTCATACTTTCAAAGAACCAGAACATTGATTCTGGTCTTCTCTCAATAGAATTGTTACATTCATGATTTATGGCAGTTTTTGAGGTCAAGCAACTTGAACAAGGTTATGCTACATGAAAAAAAATATAGATACTTAATAACTTTAACTTAGGCAGATTTCATCATTTTTATAAAACAAAAAACTTTGAAATATGTAATTATAACCTTTCGGATATGAGACAAAAGTATATGGGATATTTTATTCAATATTACCAGTAATTTACTTTATTATATAATTAAACAGAAGGTCCACTGTTAGTTCCTGGTGGAGAATCTGAATTAGGAAAAAAAGTAGCATCACTTCAGAGAAAATTAGACAGCATTCAAATGGATATAATTACGTATGGTATAATATATCATCCACATTTGTCAGAATCTGGTTGTCAGATCCCTGGAGCTACACAGAGGAGTATGAGAGGTAAGCTGACATTGATAATGGTTGGTAATCTATATGATAGTGTTTGTAAATGTAAAACACACAATACAAAACCTGTTTGAAGACATAGATAATGATTGGTAGTGTATATTATTACAATACAAAACCTTCATAGTCCAGCTATCAACAGTATTTCCTCCATAGTTGCTATAAAACCCCTAAACACAAGTAAAATTTGATTTTGACTCATTTCAGATTTGTGGTTACTTAGATATGTCATTACATAATGTTGAAAAAGACAAGTTTGAGAATTCAGTTAATATTTCAGGATGAAATTATTTGATTATTAACACAATTCAAGAAATGTAATAACACATTTTACTCTTGACTCTTGTCCTTTGAGAGTTATGCTCTTAATATTATTGCAATGGCAATTACACCTTTCTCAGAATGAGTTTGAGTTTACCTGTCCTTTTAAGTTTTGGAAAAGTGTACTGTCCCATTGAATAGTATAGTAGCTATTGTTCTCTGTGGAGTTCATTCAATGGGAACTTTAAATGAGTTTCTCCTTGAAAAAAACATAAAGATTCTGGGAAAGATTTGATTGCCTGTTCAATAATTGGGAAAATAGAAAACTTCAAGCCAAGTCCAAACCACATTTCTGAATGACTAAGTTTTTGATGAACCCTATCATATATTTTGGTTGAGATATCTGGATCAAAAAACACATTCTTTTTTTTAAAACCACATGGTAGAGTGCTGGATTCAATCCATGATCAGTTAAAAGTAAATACTTTATTTTAAAAAAAGTTTGTGTTTTGTATTTGAAACTTGTATACTGGTATGCTGTGTCACCCTTAGATACACAGTATTTGGGAGTTAGAGCAAAAAAGACTGGTAAGCTACTAACTTGTAAACCCTTTTAGCTAATCAAAAATACAAAAATACATGTGCATTATCAGAATGTATGTCACATATAAGATTTGAATCTGTAGCTTAAAGGGCAAGGTTTCAAACTTACTGTAGTTGAAAGTTTCATACACTAGGTCAATTTGTCGAAACGAATCTTTTCTGCTTTATATCATATTACCCTTTTGATTTGATTTATGATACTTCTTATAATTGTTCACAGCTACCTAAGGGTATGTGATTTGATTTGATTTTTGGTGTTTTAACGCCACTTTTAAGCACCGCTTTTGGGCTATTTCGTGGCGGCCAGTTTTTATTGGTGGAGGAAGCCGGAGTGCCTGGAGAAAACCACCGACCTTCGATAGGAAAACTGACAATTCTAGTCAATTAAGATTGGAGTCCAGGGCACCTGCACGAGCGGGGTTTCGAACTCACAACCTCAGTGTTGACTGGCTAGTGATTACAGTAGTAACTACTTAGGCTACTCGGCCACCGAGGCCCCTCCTAAGGGTATGTCATGAAAATCTTAAGCTATAAGGTCATGGTTATGAATTCTCTTTTATCCCCACCTATTTCTTATTTTTCCTGCCACCTGTAGTTCTCATCAGATTTTAATCAAATTCTTAACTGACATAGGTTTACATTAGCAAGACTTGGACAAATCAAATTTCAGGACCATTTGATTATTGTTGAGGGACTTATGCTCCTTTTAAATGTAAATAATGTCTACATTTTTGTCTCGCCTGTGACGAAAGTCGCGGAAAGCATGACATAGGGATTGCTTTTCCAGCAATGGCGTCAACAATTGTTATGTTTTCTGCTTAAGTTAGTTTGATAGAAACTACTTGTGATAGATCATTGATATTTATTATGAAGTTGCATTACTATCAGTGCATATCAGTTTGATGACTATTTTGGGGCCCTGCCCGCTATGTCATAGTCCAGTGACTTAATTAATTAACAAGTTTCAATGTTAAGTTTTTTGCTAAAGTTAGTTTGATAGGATCTACTTGTGATAGATCAATGATATTTTGTATTCCTATCTGTACGTATTAGTTTGACGATTATTTTCAGGCCCTGCTCTCTAGATAATGGTCCAGCGACTGAATTAATAAACCATGTTGCTGTCCATCAGCTTGTCTTTTTCTGAATTTTATGCTGACAGGCAAGACATTTCTCTGTGTCAACAGTTTATTTATAAGAGTTTGATAAAATTTACATCAAAAGTTTACACCAGCAATATCTCAGATAAATTAAAAACTCAAGGACAGGATTATTTTGAAAGGCACTTATACCCCTCAGATATGAATATAATATGGAAAGTCTATATTGTAAGAGCTGATTTCCCAATTTGTCTGTCATTTCTGATTAAAACCTTGGATATAAATATATAAAAAATCTAGCAAGAATTGTATTAAGGGAGCACTCACAAGTCCTGAAACAAGGATGGACGGGCGTACACCCAGAAATGTATGTCCCCAGCATGGAATTGGTACGAACAAATAAGCAGGGCTCAAATGAAAAGTTCTCAATCTCAAAGGTTTCCAGTTCTAGCCTTAAAATAAAGTTATCACTTTTGTTTCTAAAATCAGTTGTCATATTTTTTCTCTTTCAGAAAATTTTGCAAAGAGATTAAGAGTTTTAACCCATTTAGCTGCTAAACACCCAGCTTTGCGAGATGCCTACCTCACTAAAAGTCAGACAGCTGCACAGAAGTTTGATATAATCACGGATGCAGTTCAGGTTCAACAACATTTAGAAGACCTTATAGTAATAATGGGAGAAGTAGAAACACAACTGAAAACAATAAAAGAATGTAAGTAACAGGCATGGGGTAATAGTAATCAGTATTCAGTAATCTTATTCAGCTCTTATTGATTACATGTTATAATGTAATTGCAGTGCATGTAATCAGTAATCATTTAATTTCTGATTACAAGTAATTGTAATTTAACTGATTACAATGCAAAAAACAGGTGTAATCATGATGACTTTTAGATTACTTTTAGATTACACTCATACCATTACTTGTGTTGATTACAAATTTTGTATAATTAATTTGTTTATGATATAGAAGCATGAATAAAAAAATAATCAACTAGTATTCTTTGACACATTCCCTGTTTCCATTCGCAATTTTATTTTAGTATTTACTAAGATTTAGCAGTTAAGATATCATAGTGATGACCATCTTTGATCGTAGATAATTTGATTAATTTGTTTGTCTTGCCTGTGACAACAATCACAGAATGTGAGACATAGGGATGCCAATCAGGCAGTTAGGTTAACAATTTGTACAAAGATTTATATTTCAAAAGGTAGAACGCCTGGTTACTACTTAGCTTGTATTCAGATGCCTTATGTTACAAAGCTTCCATCTGTCAAATGTCCACTGTCCTTTATGGTTTTTCACAATTCAGCAACTGCTTAAAAAACTTTTGTTTTGGTTTTTTGTCACATGAATTTTTATTTATTACCAAATGAGGTCTTGTTATGGTATACTGTTGTCCGTCTGTCCGTCCATCCATCATCAACATGTCGGACATTAACTCAAAAACGCTTAAACCAATTTGCATGAAACTTTGGTGAATTGTTTATATCTATTGAAGTGAGCTCCCTTTCGTTTTTTATAAATTTTAGATTTTATGTTTCCGAGTTTTGTGGTTTTATTCATTACAAAAAGTGGGGTTTTCAAGTTTTCGGACAATAACTCAAAAACACTTTCACCAATTTGCAAGAAACTTTGTTGAATTGTTTATATATATTGACATGGGCTCTGTTTCGATTTTTATACATTTTAGATTTAACATTTACTAGTTATGGGGTTTTATTCATTAAAAAAGGGTGATTTTCGAGTTTTCAGACAATAACTCAAAAATGCTTTCAGCAGTTTTCATGAAACTTTGGTGAATTGTTTATATCTATTTTTGTAAGCTTCCATTCTATTTTTATAAATTTTAGATTTTACGTTTCCGAGTTATGGGATTTTATTCATAAAAAAGGGGGGATCTTCAAGTTTTGGGACAATATCCTTAAAGTGCTTTGAGCAGTTTTCATTAAACTTTGGTGACTGATTTATATCTATTAAGATAACCTCCCTTTAGTTTTTTATAAATTTCTGATATGACATTGAGAAGTTATTGAACTTTATTCTTTGAAAACGCGACGGACGTATCATGCACTCATGGGGCAGCTGTTTATTCAAGTTGCTCCACATCAGGGTCCAAAATTGAACTTTGTTTGATATCAACAAAAATTGAATGGTAGGGGTTTTTGTTATGCTGAATAGTTGATCAATTTCATTTGTTGGGGTTTTTTTTACATTAAGAGTTACCTCCCTTACAATGTTTGAGCTTATTATTTTAAGCCATATCTTTGAGGTGATATGCAAAGTTAAAATGTTACTGAGAATTTGCTGGTTTAGATATATTAATTTTAGTGATTATTGTGCATGCATTGTTCTAATTTTAAGATTGTTAAAACGTATCCCAACCACTTTGAATTACAATCCCATAAACCACAATTACCAATTCATGCCACAATTTTATCCCATAATATTATCCTATTTTGCCAAAAAATCAAAAAAAATCTTCAGTTCATTATAATATAATTCTATTGTCCTTAGAACTTTGATATAAATTTATTCTGCATTTCGTTTCCACTACATCATTCATTCCTAAAATTGCTAAATTATCAATATTAATTTCTAAATGCTAACAGTTTAACAATGTCAAGAAAAATTAATTTCCTCCCCTTTACCATCACCTAAAGTCTAAAAACATCAATCATTACCTGATGACAAATACACCTCAATTACCATACACATTCATCTGTACCCCACTTGTAGCAATATTCAAACAACAAAAAATTATTAATTAATTTAATAAAAGGTTTCCTACCAATAACAGCTAAAACATTATTCCTTTATGGAGCATTTTAAAAACTTAGCCAATATTGTCCATTAAGAGATAAATAAATTCTGTGTCAGGAACCTATGCTGTGTCAAATATTTAATCACAATCCCAATTCAGAGCTGTATCAAGCTTGAATTTAGTGTCCATACTTGCCCCAACTGTTCAAGGTTTAACCTCTGTGGTCGTATCAAGCTGCGTCCCGCTAAGCATTTTATTTTTGTTATCATTGTAAAAAGGCAGAGTACTTAACAACAGCATTCTAATGCAATACATAATGTTAATTCCTGAATTCCTTAGCAGACTCCCTTTTTAAATACTGTAAAATCAGAAATTATTGCGTGCATTTATTATTGCGATTTTGTCATTTTAGACTTAAATGTGATTTTAATTTTTACGATTTTGAGAAAAATCCTTTTTAGTTCATATGAAATATTTCAAAATGCGAGTTTAAATTGTTGCGTTTACAACTCTGTCGCATTTGTTGCAATAATAAAAACCTCGCAATAATTTCTGAATTTACAGTAATCATGTACACTAAGAAGAGAATGCTTAAACTTGAAACAGCATTGAAGGAAACAGATACTACACTGTATAAGTAGTAGGTCAATTACATAAGGTGTATTGAAATGATTGTAAGTTGTACATGTCTGTCTGACATTATAGTTCATTGGTCAATACTTTTAATGCTTTCTTAGATACTATAAGCAATAGGTCAACTATACTTACTTAATGGTACGTTTGCAAGGTTTACATGTCTGTCTAACAGGGTTCATCTGACCTTGACTTTATTTTCATGCTTCATTGATCAATTTTAAGTAGTGTGATGAGGTCTTTTTCTCAAATACTATAAAAAAATAGGTCAACTATATCTGATATATGGAATCATTGAATGGTGTACATGTCGGTCTGTCGGGGTTCATCTGACCTTGACTAAATTTTCATGGTTCATTGGTTAAGTTCAAGTATTTTTTATGCCCCCGCCGTAGCGGAGGGGGCATTAAGTTTTACCCTTGTCCGTCCGTACATCCCAAACTTGGTTTCCATTCTCTAACTTTCATTTGCCTTAACCAAATGTTATGAAACTCATACAAAATGCTTACTACCACAAAACACAGATCAAGTTTGAATTTTGGTGGCATCACTTAACTGTTCTAGAGTTATGCCCCTTTGCAAATGGAAAAATTGCTGAATATTTCGTTTCCGTTCTCTAACTTTATTTTGCCTCAACCAAATGTTATGAAACTTATACACAATGCTTATTACCACAAAACAGACCAAGTTTGAATTTTGGTGGCGTCACTTTAACCATTCTAGAGTTATGCCCCTTTACCAATGGAAAAATTGCTGAATTTTTCGTTTCTGTTCTCTAATTTTAGTTTGCCTCAACCAAATGTTATGAAACTTATACACAATGCTTATTACCACAAAACAAAAATCCAGTTTGAATTTTGGTTGCGTCACTTTAACCATTCTAGAGTTATGCCCCTTTACATATGGAAAAATTGCTGAATTTTTCGTTTCCGTTCTCTAACTTTAGTTTGCCTCAACCAAATGTTATGAAACTTATGCACAATGCTTATTACCACAAAACTCAGATCAAGTTCAAATTTGGGTAGCGTCACTTTTACAGTTCTTGAGTTATATCCCTTAATAACGTTATATGCAAGCGGGGGCATCATCTATGTCCCATGGACACATTCCCCATTTATTTGAGATCATTAATCAGACTGTTGGGTTTTTTCCTTTGAATTGTTTTTTAATTAGTCATGTTGAGGCCTTTTATAGCTGACTATATGGTATAGGTTTTTGATAATTTTTTAAGGCTGTACTTGACCTAGATATCAGTTGCTTAAATCCGCTGCATTTGGATGGTTGTCTCATTGGTAATCATACCACATCTCCTTTATATAGAACTACAGTTCAACCAGGGCCTGGTGTCCTATGGACACAGATTCTTGTTCAAATCTTATACATGTGTTTATGTCAAATATACAGCAATCGAAAGTCAAAATTATTCAAAAGACATCTAGAGGGCAACATAGAGTCTTAAAACTCATATCAATAGTCAAATGTCTATTAAATATGTCATCTCTAAATTGCACAGAATCTAGACAAAATTAAAACAGAAATAATCAAAGATCTGCCTTAAAATCCCAATTTTTCAAATAAAGAAAATCATTTAGATATAACATAAGACAACTACTGACCTGGTTCCTGACTTAGGATAGGCAGATGAATATGTGACTAAGTTATAAGATAAGACTACTGACCTGGTTCCTGACTTAGGATAGGCAGATGAATATGTGACTAAGTTATAAGATAAGACTACTGACCTGGTTCCTGACTTAGGATAGGCAGATGAATATGTGACTAAGTTATAAGATAAGACTACTGACCTGGTTCCTGACTTAGGATAGGCAGATGAATATGTGACTAAGTTATAAGATAAGACTACTGACCTGGTTCCTGACTTAGGATAGGCAGATGAATATGTGACTAAGTTATAAGATAAGACTACTGACCTGGTTCCTGACTTAGGATAGGCAGATGAATATGTGACTAAGTTATAAGATAAGACTACTGACCTGGTTCCTGACTTAGGATAGGCAGATGAATATGTGACTAAGTTATAAGATAAGACTACTGACCTGGTTCCTGACTTAGGATAGGCAGATGAATATGTGACTAAGTTATAAGATAAGACTACTGACCTGGTTCCTGACTTAGGATAGGCAGATGAATATGTGACTAAGTTATATTATTTTTATGTGAACTCAACATGGACCCTGTTTAATTTCGATCAGTAGGTTAATTAAAGATACAATAAAAACAATATAGGAAAAGCATTAAACTCTAAAGTAACAGTATAATAGATAACAAAAACACAAAGTAATTAACCAATTATACCATCTGTACCGGTAGGAATTCTTAAAGTTACTGAAAGCAAGCTAAAAGTATTTAACATGCTGATAAGAAATAATGCCATCCTACACATGATATCATTATTTTGCTGCACTTCATAGAAGTTTTTATACAGCATCCTCATAAACAGTACTGGAAGACATGATATTATGCAATGAAGAGAACTAACTATACAGAAAAACAAAAGAAATAATTAAGTATTGGTTCAAACTATAAATTAGTGAATTGATGTATTATTATGTACATGTTCAGTAGACTATTAAACATGTTTTTTTATGTTTTTTTGTTTTAATGCCCAAGGACAAGGCAGGCATTATGTTTTTCTGGTCTGTTCCATCTGTTTGTGGTTCATTTTTCCTTCTGTCTGTTTTGTCAGGTTTAAAGTGTTGGTTTAAGGTAGTTTACCATGAAGTTGTGGTCACATTAATTTGAACTTAGTTCACATGTTCATTATGATTTAAATATTTGAGGATATATGCCAAATTAGGGTTTGGACCCAGATTTCACAGTTCACTGAACATAGAAATGTGATAGTGCAAGTGCCACCATGGGCACATTTTGTTTGTTTCTGTCAAGAAAGGGAGATAACTGCTGTTGACTTGGGTATCTAAATATAAGAAAGAGTTCATCAAAGTGGTTATTTCTTGTTACATTCTGAAAAAAATTAAAAATTGAGCTTTTATTCAAATGAAGTCATATTTACATGTGTGTATTCCAAACATTTTAAGAATTTAAACGAGCTTTTCATTGCATGTTTGGAGAGTGCCATACTCCTAGCACTAAGAAGATTGATTGATTCATTGTTGTTTGAATAATGTCCAGTCGCAAATATTTCATTCATGTTCAGCTCTAAATGACCCTCCAGCATCATTTGTTTTAGAGAGGGCTCAATGGAGGCCAATGCTGTTGCTTAATTTAACTACTATACTCTCCATATATCATGTGACAGACAAAATTTGTTTTCCGTTTGTGTCCCATTTTGTGCCCCTTTATCATTTCGTGTTCATTTTAGATATCCATTTCACTCTCGCGTTCGTTGCTGTAGCTTGAAATAGTCAGGACACTTTAAATTGTCATATATTGTTGATATACCATTGTATTTTAGAATATCTGTGTAGCTCTAGATTAATTAGAAAAATTACTTATATGTAAATTTTGACATGTCAGTAATTTAAAATTTGTGGAACCATTTCAGCTGACATTTGCGCTATGTTAGCAATCATTTCTATTATCATGATTATTAGTATCCTGTAGACCTTTAAAGGTCACAACTTGTAAAGAAAACAACCAATTTAAAATTTTAAGAATTCAATTGATTTAAAAATGTGAAATAAATGTTTTTTAGATTTCTATTGACTAGATATAAGAAGATGTGGTATGAGTGCAAATGAGACAACTCTCCATCCAAGTCTTAATTTGTAAAAGTAAACCATTATAGGTTAAATATACGGCCTTCAACACAGAGCCTTGGCTCACCAAACAGCAAGCTATAATGGGCCCCAAAAATGACTAGTGTAAAACCATTCAAACAGGAAAGCCAACGATTAAATCGATATAAAAAACGAGAAACGAGAAACACTTATGAACCACATCAACAAACAACAACCACTGAACAACAACTAGATATGAATTAAAAGAGATGTGGGTGAATATCAATGAGACAGGGCAAAGGGGCATTTAAAGGTCAACTTGAGGTCTCCTTAAAAAATGTCTTGTTGGGTTGCAGTCACTTTGATGGTCACACCATATTTCCATTCACTTATTTAAAATTGCATGTTTTTAATTTTCACTCAAACTTTTAATGTATGTTAAGCCATACCAAAAAAACACTTTTATTTGCATAAATATTTTTAAGAAATATCAATTTATTAATTTTCCTTGAAAAAATGCCTCAATTCTTTAAAAACAATTAACGGCAGCTAACTCATAAAAATAAGAATGACATAGACTTGAATTCATTGTGGATTTATGTATTTTAATAGGCATTGCTACTTTAATAACAAATATTATGTAAATATTTCTACCACTGTGTCCTTTTTTATTGGAAATTTAGAAACATTGAAAAGTTGTTTTGTAGTCTTTATTTTCGAATTAATGAGAGATTTTGTATTTCTGATATTTATCTATGATAGAATCACCAAGGCTGCAAGCCATCATATCTGTATTAAATGCCATTTGTAGATGAAGTATGATAAATAGAATTCCAATATTAAGCAGGAAATGTCAATTGTGTCTCTGTCGACCTAGTAAATGTAAAATATCAAACAAATATTCAGTGTACTAAATGTATCATATAACTTATTTAATCAATATTAAATGTAGACAATTTTTGTCGAGCCTGCGACTTTTGTCGCAGAAAGCTCGACATAGGGATAGCGATCCTACGGCGGCGGCGGCGGCGTTAGCTAACTTCTTAAAAGCTTTATATTTTAGAAGATGGAAGACCTGGATGCTTCATACTTTGTATATGGATGCCTCATGTTACGAAGTTTCCGTCAGTCACATGTCCAATGTCCTTGACCTCATTTTCATGGTTCAGTGACTACTTGAAAAAAAAGTTCAGATTTTTGTCGAGCCTTCGACTTTTGTCGAAAAAGCGAGACATAGCGATCCTACATTCCGTCGGCGTCGTCGTCGTTGTCGTCGGCGGCGTCCACAAATATTCACTCTGTGGTTAAAGTTTTTGAAATTTTAATAACTTTCTTACACTATCCTGGATTTCTACCAAACTTGGACAGAAGCTTGTTTATGATCATAAGATAATATTCAAAAGTAAATTTTGTAAAAAAAAAATTCCATTTTTTCCGTATTTTACTTATAAATGGACTTAGTTTTTCTGCCAAGAAACATTACATTCACTCTGTGGTTAAAGTTTTTGAAATTTTAATAACTTTCTTAAACTATCCTGGATTTCTACCAAACTTGGACAGAAGCTTGTTTATGATCATAAGATAATATTCAAAAGTAAATTTTGTAAAAAAAAAATTCCATTTTTTCCGTATTTTACTTATAAATGGACTTAGTTTTTCTGCCAAGAAACATTACATTCACTCTGTGGTTAAAGTTTTTGAAATTTTAATAACTTTCTTAAACTATCCTGGATTTCTACCAAACTTGGAAAGAAGCTTGTTTATGATCAAAAGAAAGTATCCAGAAGTAAATTTTGTAAAAAAAAAATTCCATTTTTTCCGTATTTTACTTATAAGTGGACTTAGTTTTTCTGCCATGAAACATTACATTCACTCTGTGGTTAAAGTTTTTGAAATTTTAATAACTTTCTTAAACTATCCTGGATTTCTACCAAACTTGGAAAGAAGCTTGTTTATGATCAAAAGATAGTATCCAGAAGTAAATTTTGTAAAAAAGTAAAAAAAAAATCCATTTTTTCCGTATTTTACTTATAAATGGACTTAGTTTTTCTTCCAGTTAACATTACATACAGTCTGCACTTTAAGTTTTTAAAACATTTATTAGATTCATAAACTATCCTGGATTTTTACCAAACTTGGACAGAAGCTACTTACAATCAAAAGATAGTATAGAGAGGAATATTTTTATTAATTTTTTTCCTCATTTTTGTTGAGCCTGTGATTAACAGCAAAAGTAGGCGAGACACTGGGTTCCGCGGAACCCTTACAAATTTTTTGTAATGTTAAATTCTCTCTTATTATAAGTAATAGGATAACTATATTTGGTATGTGCGTACCTTGCAAGGTCCTCATGCCCGTCAGACAGTTTTCACTTGACCTCGACCTCATTTCATGGGTCAGTGAACAAGGTTAAGTTTTCGTGGTCAAGTCCATATCTCAGATACTATAAGCAATAGGTCTAGTATATTCGGTGTATGAAAGGACTGTAAGGTGTACATGTCCAACTGGCAGGTGTCATCTGACCTTGACCTCATTTTCATGGTTCAGTGGTTATAGTTAAGTTTTTGTGTTTTGGTCTGTTTTTCTTATACTGTATGCAATAGGTCTACTATATTTGGTGTATGGAATGATTGTAAGGTGTACATGTCTAGCTGGCAGGTGTCATCTGACCTTGACCTCATTTTCAAAGTTCAGTGATCAAAGTTAAGTTTTTGAGTTTTGGTCTTTCTTTCTAATACTGCATGCAATAGGTCAGCTATATTTGGTGTATGGAATGATTGTAAGGTGTACCTGTCTAGCTGGCAGGTGTCATCTTACCTTGACCTCATTTTCATGGTTCAGTGGTCAAAGTTAAGTTTTTGAGTTTTGGTCTTTTTTTCTAATACTATATGCAATAGTTCAACTATATTTGGTGTATGGAAATATTTTATGATCTATATGTCAGTGACGCAGGTTTTATTTGACCTTGACCTCATTTTCAAGGTTCATTGCTCAGTGTTCAGTTTTTGTGTTTTCGTCTGTTTTTCTTAAACTATAAGCAATAGGTCAACTATATTTGTTGTATGGAAGAATTGTTAGCTGTACATTCCTGCCTAGCATGGTTCATCTGACCTTGACCTCATTTTCATGGTTCATTGGTCAATGTTTAGTTTACTTGGTTAATGTTAAGTTTATGTGACAGTTGTAATAAAGCTTTATATTTAGGACTATCAACATAATATCAATGATTAGTAAAGAAGGCGAGACATTTCAGCGTGTGCACTCTTGTTTATAAGTATTTTGTACTATTTGTTCATGGGTATATTTCTTTTTTTCCAAATAGAAAATTAAAAAGAAAGGCACGCATTGAATTAAAAGAAGACATAATTTCCTTTGTTTTTGAAATAACATGTTGGAAATTCAGATTCATGTATATATATTATGGGAATTTTTAAGTATGAAAAAATGGTAAATGGAAATTTCCTTAGACTTCCTTGATGATAAGATTTATGAAATACTGGTTTTTAAAGGTCATCTGCAACATTTATAGATATGCTCTTTTAAGGGGATTTCCACCAGTTACAAGTGAGACAATCAATATAATATCATGTTTACTATGTCTTCTCCAAAGTATGTCCCCCATTTTTCCATACCATTTTTCTGCTATTTTAAATAAAGCAAAGAACATGAGATATGCATTATAATTATAAAGATAAATTGTTTAACATAGTTACAGTAACTTATCTTCCCTGAAGCCCTCATATTTAATACAAGCAAAACACATCAGTATTCAATTAATGATTATATAGTTGAAGGTGTCATCTGTAAAGATAAAACAGTTTGAGAGGTTCATGTGATAAAATTAATAAAAAATTATATCAAACAAGCTTAATATAGTTGACAGTAGATAGTATGAACTTTTATGACTATGTCATGTACTTCTTGATGTTTTGTTTTAAAGAAAAAGTGTTTTGCATTTTTGACATATTTTGTATGGTAGTCAATTCCATAGAACTGATCAAGAATAAACTAAAAATTTCTGAAATAACTCAACTTTTGGCTTGTGAATTATCAGATTACCTTGAGTAACACTTCTCAAAGAGTAAGGACTATTGTGTGGTATCTGTTAAAACTTTTGAGCTAGGTATACTATAGCGGTGCTTTCTTCTGCTCCAATGTATATCATGTACATACCAGATAATAGTTAAGGTATTTAATTCTATTTTCAATTGTCTTTCACTCAATTTCTTTAATTGTCTTGCCTTGACAGAGTCAAAAGGCGAGACATAGGTATGCTGTTTCTGGCGTCGGCGGCGACGGTGATGGCGTCAACAATGTATTAGTTTGTGATTAGGTCTAGTTCATGGTGAACCACTAGTGGTAGGTCAATGATATTTGGTATGCAGTCGTATTAGCATTGGCACATCTCATTACCTTGGAGATTATTTGGCCCCGCCCCCTTAGTCAAGGTCTATTGACTTTGAAACTTTTCATAGTTTACATGTATTAGTTTGTGATTAGGTCAATTTATGGGGAACCACTAGTGGTAGGTCAATAATATTTGGTATGCAGTTGTATAAGCATTGGCATATCTCATTTCCATGGAGATTATTTGGCTCCGCCCCCTTAGTCAAGGTCTATAGACTTTGAAAATTTTGCTAAGTTAACATGTATTAGTTTGTGATTAGGTCAGTTCAAGGGAACCATTAGTGGTAGGCCAATGTTAATTGGTGTTCAGTTGTTTAAGCATTAGCACATCTCATTTCTACGGAGAATATTTGGCCCCGCCCGTCAGTCATGGTCTATTTACTTTGAAACTTTTGCTTAGTTTACATGTATTAGTTTGTGATTAGATCAGTTTAAGATGAACTGCTAATGTTAAGTCAATGATATTTGGTATGCAAATTTATTGGCATTTGCAAGTAACGTTTCCATGGAGTTTATATAGCCCCACCCCTGATCATGGTTCATTGACTTTTAAACTTTTACATAGTTTACAAGTTAATGTTTGTGTTTAGGTTTGTTTAAAGGGAACGACTTATAATAAGTCAATGGTATTTGGTATGCAGTTGTATTAGCATTGGCACATCTCATTCCATGGAGATTGTTTAGCCATGTACCTTCAGTCATGGTTCATCGACTTTGAATATTTGCATTACTTACATGTTAAAGTATTGCTATTTTAATTTCAACATTTGCAAAAAGACGAGACATATCTCTGTGATAACAGTTTATTAAGGGTTCAGATAGAGATAAAGAATATGTACTTTAAATTAACCTTGCTGATCATTTTTTAAGTTTTAATTTTCTTGTTAACCCCTCTTTTTTTTCATTCACATTCTCATTATTTGTTAAATAATTGAAAGTTACAATGTTATATTTGTCAAACTGAATTCTTTCAAAAAAAGGTATCAGTTGATATGTTCTAACACCATTACTAACAAATATTTTAATTTAATAGCATTTTGAATAAGGGACTTCTTTGTAAAATATATTGGTTTATCTGATGCTGTCAGTGCACATGGTTCTGCTACTACATTTTGGTACCATGTTATCTGAGATATTATTATGAAGTGTCTTTTGTTGAAGACAGAAAGTTGAGGTCTTGATGTCTTTTGGGTAACTGTCTCATTAAACTATACCCCACATACTTTTCGTTTATTCATATTTATGAATTATCAATCTTTAAAATAAGAAATAACCAGATCATGAATCTCTTTAGTTTAAATTTACAGTAAATGATACCTTAACTGTATTTTGTCTATGTATTGATTTGAAGGAAAATATGACAGTGTTCAATTTATCGTGTTCTCTGGAACTTTTCATGGCTCAATGATTCACATTTTAGGTCTAAGAAAAGTTCATAATCTAAGTGATAACCTGTCATCTAATTTTTACATCATTTTTTAGTATTTCAATATTTTAGGAATTCCAGTATGTCAATAACTATGAGTAAAAGGTCAACTTTATGGTTTTAAAAAATTCTTTGTGAGGCTAATAGTCAGTCAGACATGTGATAGTTGGCCTTGACCTCAGTGTGTTCTTATACATGCATAATCGTTTCACTGGTATGGTATTTCTGTGCATTCAACGTTTTTTTTTTGTTTGAAAGATTTTGCAATGAATATTGGCACAAACAAACCTTGCTGATGTTGATTTTTTGTCTATTTCAGCAAATAATACCTTTGAAGATGACCTGTGGCTTTTTGGTCCCATGTATACAGCTGCAGACATAAGCCTTACAGTTTTACTTATCAGATTTACATTACTTGGGATGGATACACTTTACTTTCCTAGTAAAACATGTCCTTACACTCACAATTATTTTAAGCAAGTTCAAAAACGATCATCTTATGTTAAATTACAGAAAGAAATTTCTAATCTACGTTTGACCTTGTTATGGGAGAATTTTAAAATGGCATCACCTTACATTGGCAGTTTAGCCAGTGCATGTGTTATAGGTGGTGTTATATATTGGCTGTATAATAAATATAAATGATTATAGATTTTAATTAAGTGTTGTAACCAAAGATCAAGGTCACCAAATGTTGTCATTATTTATTCATTATAATGAGGCAATTCTGTTCAATAACAGGACACACACAGTCTGAGAGACATATTCAATAGAAGTAAAATTCAATATTTCTATGTTTGTTTGGAAAGTTTCATATATGGATGATCTGATGTACATTTAAAAGATTTTCCAAATAAATAGCAAGAAACTCTTTAATCATGTATAGAGAAAAAAAGAAAATTCCACAAAACTTATAATTGATATAGCATATTTAGAGGTAAATAGTACAGTTCATCTTAGTGACAGGGAAGACAGAAGTAGGGTAAACAAGGGTCCTAGTGTAAAACTAATTTTGGTCGAGAGAAGAGGTGAAGGCATGGTGAAGTAGGAGTAAAGGAGGAGGGGATTGGAGTAAGAGCATGGTGAGTTAGAATTAAAGGGGGATGGGATTGTAGTAAGAGCATTGTGAAGTAGGATTAAAGGGGGAGGGAATTAGAGTAAGAGCATGATTTTAAGTAGGAGTAAGAAGGAAGTGGATTGGAGTAAGGGCATGGTGAAGTATAATTAAAGGGGAGGTGATTGGAGTAAATACATGGTGAAGTAGGAGTAGGGTTTGGAGTAAGGGGATGGTGAAATAGGAGTTAAGGGGGAGGGGATAGGAGTTAGGGCATGGTGAAGTTGATTAAAGGAGGGTAATAGTGAAGTAGAGGTAGCAACTACCATACATCCCTGCTTGCGTCTCAAATATACTTGTAAGATGATTAAAGTATATTCTTGTAAAGGTATTAGTTGCCCAATTGACATGATTTAGATTCCATGTAATTCATAAAGGCTAAATGTTAACAATTATTGCTGATGAATATTTGATGTGTTTATATTTGACAAATTTTTCAACACCTTCAAAATTAAAATGTTAATTGATAGATTTAAGTGTAAACTAGATTTATCAAAATTATTATCAGACTCGTATCTGATGATCCCATCAACATGTTTTTCTCTATGAATACTAGTATGGATTCATTGTTATTAATGGGGTAACAGTTTTCATGGATTTCATAGGTAAAAGTTATCTAGGAATTTGAGAGTTTAACCAAATACAACTTTTCTATAGGCTTTGTCCTGAATTTTTTTAAAACACAAAATCAAGTAACCATGAAATTACAATTTTTTTATAACCCATGAAAATTGATACCCAAGAAAATGAATGAATCCACAGTATGTGGTAACAGTTACAAGAATCTCCTTTCAAAGTGTCACTTGATAACTTCTCACTTATCAAGTAGCTGTGACTGAAAAATGAAAATTTGACATAAAATTCCTTATTAAGTCCTGTGAAAGATCAGGGACTACAGTCACAACACTTAACTCAGTACTGGGAGTATAAGATTTGTGCTAGAAACACCAAATCCAGTATTTAGATTGGATGAATTCTGAGTCTGAGTATGAAAATCATACTCCAAATTTTTATGAGCGCAAAGCCGGATATATGTAGTTGCCAATGACATCTTTAAAGCTTTAAAATTTTGAAAATGATACTGTTATGATCTTTTTTTCCCCTTTTGAATCTTGCACATAGAGATTAATTAACCTTGTCATCTGGTAAAAGTTTAGACATTTTTACCAAGAGTGAAAAAACATGAAGCTTTCATAGAAAAAAAAAATGCCAAATTCAGAGATATATAAAAAAAATTATGTACTTTTTGTATCTTGATCTTTGGTGTAAAACTTTAGTCAGGTTGTGCAAAGTATTTATTCTAATTTATTCCTTATTATGTGTTGTAGTATTACATGCAGGTCATGCCATCCATTGTAAGATGAGTTAATGATTTGAGTTGAGCACTCCTTACAAAAAAAACTTTTGTTTTGATTGAGAACATGAGAAGGCATGTAATTTTTCTCATGTGTGATTATTGATTATTAGCTTAGATGATGTCACTTTGTATTGCATTTGGCTTTAAGAGTCCAAAAAATCCACTGCCATCATGAAATTTTTTAGATTTTTAGAATAAAAATTTTTTCTCAGTCTGCTTTTATAACTTCTTTAAAAAATGCACCTTTATTGCTTTTTTCTTCATCATCCTTTTTTGTGTGTCTGTTATGGATTATCAAGCCACACTTGTCATATTTTGACAGTAGAGAGAAACTTAAAAAATATTCCAAATTTTTATTATAGGAATGACATGATATATTTTTAAACTGAGCTCAAACAAATAACAAAGTTTCTTTTTGATAATTTATTTCTAATTAAAGAATGACTGTAAATTCAGAAATTATTGCGAGGTTTTTATTAATGCGAATAATGCGACAAGGTAAATATCGCAATAATAAGAACTCGCATTTTGATACCTAAAACATAGATCTGTATGTAGATTTTTCTGAAATCGCAATAATTAAACTCACATTCTTGTCCATTTTTGAAAAATCGCAATAATAAATGCATGCAATAATTTCTGAATTTACAATAATATGATTTCTGTATCATTAACATGCAAGGTTAATACGAAAATCAGACAGATATAGGATACGAAGAAAGAGGAGCATAACCCTTATAACAATGATTAAAGGAGATCTGAGGTAATAATTAAGAAGACAGCAACCAAACAATACAAAGAATCCAAAAATCTATCTAGAGCTGAACAGGAAAGGTCCTTACATTTCTATCTGTAAAGGGGTTTACTGGTAACCAAATGATACAATCATATCTAGTTGTCAATGGCATCTTTTGATATAAAAATAAGGAGATATGGTATGATTGCCAATGAGACAACTATCCACCACAATTCAAATGAAGTGGATGTAAGCAATTATAGGCAACCGTACGGTCTGAATGATGAGAAAAACCATACCGTATAGTTGGCTATAAAAGGCCCTGACATGAAAAATATGAAACAATTCAATAGAGAAAATTATCAGCCTAAATCATAACAAAATAATTTACGAAAAACAAATATGATGGATATGAACCAATTACAGCTGCTGTACTACAGGCTCCTCCTGACTTAGGACAGTCACATATAGAATGTGGAGGGGTTATACATGTTTGAAGGTCCTCAAAGCTTGTTATTTAAAAAATATGCAAAATCTATGACCATTAGTTATATTAGAGATAGATCGTGTAAAAAGGGACACTTGTAGAAAAATCCTTTATAAATTTCATAGGGGGGGGGGGGGGGGGGGAATGCATCATGAAAACTACTGCACAATGTTAGAATTTATGTGGACATGTTTTTAGATACAGATTGAACAATTATCCTATGTTTTAAACCCAGCCTTAATTTTATGAAGAAACAGATTATATTTAAATGAAGTTAAGTCTGAGTAACTAAAGATGTTTATTAATTCTAGGACCACTTTTAGTTTGGACTGGGAGCGTTTCAACTTATTCTTTTTTAATATACTTTTTCTTCTATGTGCCTCAGAAATAAGGTTAGGAATATAAAAGAAAGGAAAATAAATAAGAAATTGATTAGAAACCATTAAATTCGATCAAATAGTTGATCTTGAGTTATTCATTAAGATTGCATATTTACATTGTGTTTCATGCTCTGATGACTGGTTTAAAGTCATTATCTTGATTCTTTTGTCATCATAGTAATTTAAACCTGGTATCAGGGCATTAAAGAGAATGTAAACATATTCCTAAATCAATCTTTATTTGAATAAAGGATGTCTCATTATATTTCATTGTTTACTTCCCTACAAAGGATGTATGAAGGCCAATGAAAATATTTATTATTTTTTTATTTCAGGGAGCTGTTCTCACTTGGAATTTTTTTCTCTTCAAGTTTCAAGATTAATGCACATTTTTGAATATGTCTTAAGATTCCCAATAATCACATTTTTACATATAAAACCAGTTCCTCTATTCTGTCCCATATTTTTGTGGAAAGAGGATGAAAATTTCATAAAATTTTTTTTTTTAAACATAGTCTTTTAAATCTGAAGTTGAAAAATGAGTTATAGATTATAATATAAAATGAAAATTTTGCATATTTTTTTGTTGCATATCTCAAAATTTTTATCTGTGACAATGACAAACAAACAAAAATCTGTCTAAAGTTTATGCACCTGAAAGAGTAATATGATTACATTTTTCAGATGATTAACTTTGTTATTTTGAATGTTTATAAAGAAATTTTACAAGGTTAAGACCCTGGAGATGTAGGTTTTAGTAAGTATCTTCTAAGCTAAGCTAGTCTGTAACTTTATAAGGACATGAAGTATAATTCTTTATCACCCCCTGCCCCCTAAAAAAATATAATAAAAAAGGACTGAATATAAAATAAACCAATACTTTCATACATATATTGAAGACCCATTGGTGGCCTTCGGCTGTTGTCTGCTCTATGGTCGGGTTGTTGTCTCTTTGACACATTCCCCATTTCCATTCTCAATTTTATATAGGGGCCAGCTGAAGGACGCCTTCGGGTGTGAGAGTTTCTCGCTGCATTGAAGACTCATTGGTGGCCTTCGGCTGTTGTCTGCTCTATGGTCGGGTTGTTGTCTCTTTGACACATTCCCCATTTCCATTCTCAATTTTATGTATGTGTCTGTGTTTCAAAGTAATTTCAGGCTACCAGTGGCAATTGTAAAAATGAAAATGGTATGACACAAACACTGTAGGAAACATTTATTTTTCATTCATATTATATATTAATGAACATACAGTTCATCTTATCCTTTAATGGTTTGGTGGTTCTTACCTAATTCCTATATCATGTATTTTAGCTGTTTTATTCCTTTTTTTTCTACTCTTTTGGGGTTTTGTTGTTTGTTTTTCTTTTAGTTTACTTGTTCTCAGCTCCTCATTATTTTCTTCAATATTTTGGAGAATCACAAGAAAAAGAGAATATGTTTTTAGCCAGACAATATTTAAAATAGTCTTGAGCATAGATTTTCCCACTACCTGTAGAAAATGCTATTTTAAGTATAATATCCTTTGCAATTTTCTTAAATCTGAAGTATCCTTCAGTTTTTCTGAACGATCGTTCAAATTATTGTCAGTGATTTTTATACTTTTTTTTTAATGATCCTGAATCAAGTTAGAAAAAATAATCTATGCAATTTTGTATTATCATGTTCCAATTCAAAAGTTGAAAGATTTAGAAAATTGTAATGTGCATTTATGGTTAATATTTCTTGTCCTGTGATTAAAATACGAGCTTATGACTTAATTTGTGCATTATTAATATATGTGTGTCAGATAGATATTCAATCTGAGAAATATCCATACTTTGTAAAATTTTAATCTAATAGTGTACTGTAATACTTTATGTAGACAATATTAAAGTAATTGGATAGCATGTCCCAGGCTGAATCTCATAGATAAAATGAAATATAGATCTAAGTATTGATTTTTTAAGATATTATTGTAATATGATATTGGAATAACTTTTTTTAAATGCTATTAGTCTTTCACTTGTATTTATTATTCTCTTAAAATTACATAACTTCATTTTCAACAATATTCTACAAATTAAAACCAGTAATCCTATATTTTTTTTTTAAGTTGTGATGTTGCATGATTTTTGAATGATGTGTGATATAAACTGATTGTTGCCTTTAGTTACATCAAATGTGCAATATTGTTCTATTTTACTGTGTTATAGTATGTTGTATTTAAATGTTATCTTGGTTATTCTTACATTTCAATAAACAGCTTGATAAATAAGTCTTAGTACCTTCATCACCAAAGGCAAGAGTAACTGATCCTCTTTGTCCAACATGGGTTTTCCTTTTAATGCCAGACTAGAGAAGTCTGTGGGACCATATACCAATATTCTAGTCCAGGAATAAGAAATCCTCATGGTGAAATGCTTAATTACAAACAGATGCTTCCATCATGGGTCTTACTCTTACTGCCAGACTAGAGAGGTCTAGAGGACCATATATCTATATTCTAGTCCAGAAACAAGAAATCCTCATGGTGAAATGCTTAATTACAAATAGATGCTCCTCATCATGGGTCTTATTCTTACTGCCAGACTAGAGAGGTCTGGGGACCATATATCTATATTCTAATCAAGGAATAAGAAATCCTCATGGTGAAATGCTTAATTACAAACAAATGCCCCTCATCATGGACCTTAATCATACTACCAGACTATAGAGGTCTGGGCACCATATAACTACCGGTATTCGAGTCAAGGAATAAGAAATTCTCATGGTGAAATGCTTTATAGCAAACAGATGCCCATCAGCATTAGTCTTACTACCAGACTAGAGAATTCTAGGGGACCATAAACTATATTCTTGTCAAGGAATAAGAAATCTTCATGGTGAAATGCTGAATAACAAACAGATGCCTTTCAGCATGGACCTTACTCGTACTACCAGATTATAGAGGTCAGTGGGACCATATAACTATTCTAGTCCAGGAATAAGAAATCCTTATGGTGAAATGCTTAATTACAAACAGATGACCCTTAGCATGGGCCTTATTCTTACTACCAGACTAGAGAAATTTGGGGGACCATATATCTTTATTCTAGTCCAGGAATAAGAAATCTCATGGCGAAATGCTTAACTGCCAACAGATGCCAAACCAGAGAAGACTACCGGTATGTGACCAAATATCTAGTATAGTCAAGGAGAAGAAATCTTCATGGTGAAATGCACTAGTAAGTTCAGTAGGTAATATACATTCTATGTCTAGATTACAAACCATACAGGAGATAATAGAACAAAAAACTCTTCCAGTGGCATAGCTTGCATGTATGCTCAGATGCTCAAGCATCCACATCATTTTGACACACAAAAAAAAATAGAAAAAAAAATTGCATGTGTTCGCAGCAGATATACTCGGAGGTCTCTGAATGTAACAAGGGTGAGGATATGAGGATGACTCCCAATCATTTCCGAAGCAGTATGCGTGGTCGTGTTTGTTCTTCGTTTAGTTTATGTAAACAAAATGAATAAATAGCAGATAAGTGTTCTCGACTTTTTTCTTAAAAAGTCTACGTCGTTTGCTACGGCAAGCACAGAGGATGATGATACGCAGACCCGCGGACATGTTTCATCTGA